ATTCTAGGCGGGGGACCTACCGGCGTGGAGTTCGCTTCCGAGCTGCACGATCTTCTCCACGCTGAAATGGCGGCCCACTACCCGGTGTTGGTAAAATTGGCGAAGATCACTCTCTATGATGTTGCCCCGAGCATTCTGGGCAGTTTCGATCGGAATCTCGTCGAGTGCGTTTTGTTTCGTCAAAGCGATCCAGGGCATACGTCATTGACTCGGCTCGAGCTACGCGGAGGACCGATTCACCCGTGAGGGGATCAGCATTCTAACCTCGCATCATGTCGAGCGTGTAGAAGCGGGGAAGATGTTCGTGAAAGAACGAGGCGAAGGTGTGTGTGGCATGTTACAACACTTGCTCGCGTCGATTTGATTGCTTCTTTAGTTCCGTTCGGGCTCTTGGTCTGGAGCACGGGGCTAGCACCCAACCCATTGATTGAGTCCATAACAGAGTTCAAGAAGGACCCGAGAACTAAAAGGTGGGGGCGAATATTGTGTCCACTTGAAAGCCTCGCGCTGATCAACACCGCTAGTGTTTTGACGGACGAGAATTTGAATTTAATCCGACTGGATGGTACCCCAGACCCAAACGTCTGGGGTATCGGTGATTGTGCACAAATCGAGGGCGCGATTCTCCCGGCGACGGCGCAAGGTGCGTCTTTCGCATCCTCAACACTTGCTTCCGTGCGATTTTACCTATTCTTCCAGTTGCAAGCCAAAAGGCGAAATATGTGGTCAAAAAAGTCAACAAGCTCGCGAAAGAGAAAACCTCCCCCGAGCCGTTCAAATTCGAGAACCAGGGAAGCTTGGCGTACATCGGAGACTGGTATGCCCTGCGAGCATGGGTTACCAGCAGAATTTTGATCCTTTGTTTCACAGGCGTGCGATCTACGACAGCCCGAGTCAAGACAAAGACCACATCCTCTCTCGGGCCGAGACGGGAAGAGTGGCGTGGCTGCTGTGGCGATCAGCATATTTCACGATGACGCTGTCTTGGCGGTAAGTCTTTCCAGCATCGTGTTCCGCTTCGCGTGACGACGTGACATAGGAACAAAATTCTGGTTCCGATGTACTGGTATGTGTTGTTTTTATTCTATGGTAGACGTGGGGGCTTACTTGCATCGCAGGTTCATGAACTGTGAGTCCCTGACGCTCGCCACAGCGTTTTCATTCATGATTGATATTTGCAGGGATCTTTGGTCGTGACATCACGCGATTCTGAGAATCGGCTAGGATTAGATAGAAGGACACCATGGCCACTAGATATTTAGAGTACGACAATAGAACGTCAACATCCTCATCCATCCACAATAAAAACCGATCTCATATAATTCGTGGCGATGGCTTCCTCCGTATTTTGTGTGGTTTTCCTTGGACTGTCTCTCGTCATCAGCTGCCCTGGCTGGTGGTCGAGGCTACGCACGAGAAGTTGTGGACAACGAAAGTTCATCAAGAAATCCTTTTGCGATTTGTTGCGAATCGGAGCCATATTGTCGCATCGGCGCGTCTCCGTTGGCGGCGAGATCAGCGATGACCATCGTCCAATTATCCGCGCTGTCCTGGAAGTCGAATGCGTCCAACGAGTGCGAGCGTCGCGCGACTTTGCCCACATGAGCCACGTGGACGAACGAGTTGGCCACGGGGCCAGATATGATCGCGGGGGAGTGCCAGGCGAAAGGTAGCCGGCGGCGACGACGGCGCGAGCGGAGCTGGGCTTTCTCGGCCCCGCTTCTATCTGGAGCACAACCGGGCCTCAGCGGAGTCGGACCTCAGCACGATGGGTGTCTCACCGGGTGCCATCGCCCGATCTAACACCTGCTTCCCGAATTCGGCGGCTTCTTTGTCGTCTCCCGTGAACAGAAAGCCGAACTTTCGGCTCTGGGTGGGGGCACAGTCAGCGTCAGCGGGGGATAAGGTTACCCAGGGATGTACGTACAGAGCCGCGAAAAACGTGGAAGAACGGTCTATCCACCCGGTAGTCAAGCCCCGCGCCCGCATCGGGGATGCTGAAGTGCCAGATCGGTTTGCCGCTCGCTGCGTCGAGCAGGCGGAAGCAGTGGTGCGGGGTGTTTTCGGGGCCGGGACAGAGGGAGAGCAGACCGGACAGGCCCGAGTACGTCCATTGTTCTGCGCCCGGTGTTTGCTTTGTGGCGAATGAGGCGTGGTAAACACGCGCAGGGAGGCTCGCGAGCGCCTCGCTCGAGGCCGCACTGCTGCTGGCACTGCTGTCGTCGCAGCTCCCGGCACTTTCCGGCGCAGGTAGGATGTCCAGCGGTACAGTGGTATTGGGAGTGCTCATCGCCAGCAGCTGCGATATCATGTTGAAAAGGGAAGCGAAGGAAAGAAGCGGGGCCGTGTAGCTCGCAGCACTGCCGCTACTTATTGACCGCTAATGGCCGCTCCCCAAGCTTAAACACGCGTCATCCATCGTGTTCTCCGCATGTCCAATTTCTTGAATTTATTTTCCTCAAAAATCAATCAAAATACAGCTCTATCGATGCAAGATCTTTCGACCCGTTTCAATAGCATGCGGTGCTTGTCGGCGGTCGCGATGTGATGACGTCACGTGAGCGTGTCTGGGTGCGTCACATTGGTCTCAGTCACAGTGCCGCTCGCTTCCACAACCATGGCCGCTCGCACCAAAGCTGCCCGCAAGCCAACAAGAAAGTCTGCACCCAGGACAAAGAGAACGAAGGAATCGGACTCCGACCACTCGGAATTAGGCGAGGAATCCGAGTCGGAATACGACAGTGACGCGCTCGACGAGGAGCCGGTCGAAACCAAGAAGCGCAAGCGGAAACCCGCCGCCGCGGCCGGCGCAGACGGATCTCCATCCAAATCCAAGGCCAAACGCTCCCCAAGGAAGAGAAAGCGAGTTCAGGCGGACGACGATGAGTCGGAGTTTGAGAATGACGACGGGCTCGAGGTCGTCGGGAAGGTTGTCCAGGCGCCCAAGACGGGACTAGGTATGCAGCCGCCTCCGTTGTCCGCTCGGAGGGGATTCCATCTGACTCAACCTCCGATCAAGTTCCTGCTGGCCAGATATCGCAAAACACCCTGGATTTCCTTACGCAACTGAAGAATCCAGAGTGTAACGATCGCGAATGGTAGGCAGGCTGCAGGTGGGACGCCCGAGCCAAGTCATATGCTCACTCCGCTTTCCCAGGTTCAAATTGCACGGTTAGCTCTCAACGGCCGTAGATCTCAGCGGTGTGACCGGGTGTTTCTAGATCCCGTCTATCGGCAGGCGGAGAAGGAGTGGAAAGACTTTGTCGAAGCTTTTACTGATCGGCTAGTTGAAGTGGACGATCAGATACCGCCGCTTCCACCGAAGGATGTGATTCATCGCATCTACCGAGATGCACGTCTCTATGTCTTCTTCATTCGTTCGTCGTTTTGACTTCCCTCAGACACGCTTCAGCAACGACAAAACGCCATACAAGCAAAACTTTTCCGCGAGCTTCTCGCGAAGCGGCCGGAAGGGAATCTTTGCGTTCTGTGAGCGTCGTCAGGATTCATGTTTACTGTCTCACTGACTTATCTACAGATCATGTGTGAGTTGTTTCAGCGCGCAGCATGTCTCGGTGTTCCAACGCGCCTCACACAGCATGAGTAAGCGGCGCTCGTATCTGGCAGCTTGGGGCTCAAATGTTGTTCGCAGTCAAACCGGGAGACCAGAGCATGATCGCAGGGGGCGCCTGGTGTCCCGCCAAAGCTGAGCTTGACATGATGCGGTATCTCGCTCCGGTTTCCATGGACTTGACGCAGATCTGAGGTTTCTCATAGAACGAACATCAAACGCGACTCTAGTCGGCTGCGCGACATCATCGAAGACGCCACCTTTGTTAAGTACTTCGGAGAGCCCAAACCGGGGGCCAGGAGGAATATCTTTGGGCGCGAAGATGAGTTGAAGGTGGCACCCAAAGGCGTTCCGAAGGACCATTCGTGAGCGTGACTCTTCGTCTCGGCCAGTGACCGCTGCTGAGCTAACGCAAGGGACATCGACCTGCTGAAATGCCGTTCATTCGCGGTCTCGCACCAGTGCGTGGCTGACCAAATGTCCCCATCGACGGCTTACGGCTTTCGGTAGATTCACGGACCAGCAAGTAACAGCTGCTGACTTCAAAGAAACCCTGTCTGGGGTGGCCGAGGTGCTGCTCTCCTTTGTGCATTGGTCAGTGAACAATTTGGGCGTCTCGTTCGTGTCTGAAGCGGAACAGTTTGAACGACATGATGACCGTGAATGAAGCGGAGGAGGCATCGAGCGAATGAGAAGAGATTTCGTACGGGTGGCTGTCTCTTTTTTGCTTAGGCTATGTAATGAGAAACAGGGACAGGAAATTACAGAGGACGAGCGGAGGCTCCATCTATTTCGGGCCTCCCAACTCCTTTGGTGGCACTTCTCTTTCAGTATTTGGGGTTTTCTCTCTCGTTTCGAGTGCAAGTGGTGTGATGTGTGTATTGTGGGACAGTCTGGGCTCCTGTGTCTGCGCGTTGTTCCTTGGGGGACTCATTTTGTGTGGTTATAATGTAATATATGTATAATATATTGGGTGATTTCCCCCTGCTCATCGAGTCTAAAGTGCTATGGCTTTCTCTCTCCCCTCTTTTAGAGGGTGCCTTTGATTCAGCCAGCGCTCTCGCTGAGTGCCCCGCTGCTGGCGGCAGCGCGGGGGCTTCAGCTTTGTTACTTTTCACTTTTTTCAAAGGGAGATGGTGATGGTACTTAGTCAATGCAAGAGATACAATTCGCGTTTGATAGCACGTGATATTCACATGACTTCGGACCCGGTAACGGTCCCGAAGTCTGATTGATTCTTGGATTTTGGGCCAACACACAGACCTGCCTTTTTGGGAAGCCTGCCGCATGACGGCCGAAACAAGGCAAGGGCGGCAAATCATGCATCTCTTCAAGGTCGCGTGACCTTGTTTATTCCCGGCCTCGAGATTTGTAAGTAATGAAAACAGTTGTAAACAATCTATCCCGCCTCCTCCCCTGCCTTCATTAGTGCGTCCCAATTTATTGTCGGCTTTCATACTTGTCTTCAGCCCCGCCATCGATCCCCGAGCCGCTTGCGACGCTGCCTCAAGACAGAGGCCAACAGGCTTTGCCACCCAGCCGCTGAGTCAAGCCGGGCAGAGAGCTTTGCAGGTGGGATCATGTTTCCTCCCTTGCCTGAACCTCTTGAAAGTAACAGTTGTAATGTATAGTAACCAATACTCCTTAGTTATAGCTGTCGTACTTTACAATGTCTGCATTGCTGTAGAATATCAAAGAATATTACTTATCAATTACTTAGCATTACTAGGCTTACTTAGCGAGTACTCTCCCCTCGTTTGCTCCACTATAATCTACATAATCTTTGTGTGCAGTATGCATATGAGTAGTCTACACAGATATTACGAGTTCACATTCACTCATCTGCATGCATTGATACAACTCATTTTTTTTGGCTTTCCAATTTCAATTTGTTTATACAAGCTTCTCGTGGACTTGTATCGATTTGCATGGCACTCACGTGAGCTGCGGCAAAGTCTCCGAGTCATCAGGAATCAGCGATTAATCATCCTCGGCAAAATGCCGAAGCGTCCCAAAAAGGCAGGTCTGTGTGTCGGCCCAACGTCCTTGATTCTTCCTCAGTTCAATACAAACTCATTTTTTTTGGCTTTCCAATTTCAATTTGTTTATACAAGCTTCTCGTGGACTTGTATCGATTTGCATGGCACTCACGTGAGCTGCGGCAAAGTCTCCGAGTCATCAGGAATCAGCGATTAATCATCCTCGGCAAAATGCCGAAGCGTCCCAAAAAGGCAGGTCTGTGTGTCGGCCCAACGTCCTTGATTCTTCCTCAGTTCAGGATGACTTTGTATTATTTGCATAAATACCTGGGTAGTAGTAGTAGTTAGTTAGCTTTCATTGAATCGAGTACCTACCTACGCGACTTCTGCTACCCCAAGACTCGGCTTTGAAGACTCCAGCATAACGCCTTGATTCTCCTCGCTCAACCAGCTTAAAGAAACCAGGCATCGTCACAGTAAGGAGTCACGAGGCCTCACCCTCCCACAATCTAAGCTTCACAGTTCCATGTCCGACGCATCCATACACCGCATTGTCATCATCGGTGGCGGTATCATCGGGTGCACGACCGCCTACTATCTGTCCCGGCACCCCAAGTACATCCCTTCGGAAGTCGCGATCACCGTCATCGAGGCGTCATCGCGCGGTGCGGCGCAGGGCGCGTCTGGAAAGGCGGGCGGTCTGGTCGCCAAGTGGGCCTATCCGAAGGAGCTCGTGTCCGTCTCGTTCGCGGAGCACGTCAGGCTCGCGGAGGAGCACGACGGCGCGGCGCGTTGGGGATGGCGGTACGTCGCGATGGGGAGGTGGGAGGGCAAGGGGGCCGATTCGGGGGTCCGGATGCCGCGCGCGCACGAGAAGAGTCTGGAGAAGACGCTCGGACTTGAGCCGGACCGCAGGGGGACGAGGAAGACGAAGGGGCTGCCGGACGACCTGCTGTGGGTTCGCGAGGATTTGACCGAGTCTTATTCATCGATGGCGCCCGACGGAGAGACGGCGCAGGTCCATCCGTACCTGTTTACGACCGGCATGCTTGATCTGGCGAAGGAAAAGGGCGTGGAGTTCACGTCCGGCTCGGTTACTTCGATACTGAAGGAGGGTGGCCAAGTGACCGGTGTGCGATACACCGACCCCTCTGGGACCGAGGAGACGCTTCCCGCGTCCGACGTGCTGCTCTGCGCGGGTGCATGGTCCTCGCGGATCCTTCCCGGGCTGCCGATCGAGGGCACGCGCGCGCACAGCGTCGTCATTCGCACGCCGGCCGCGTCGCCCATCGCACCGTACGTGCTGTTCACTGAGATCACAGGGACGGGGAACGGTGCCTTGAGCCCCGAGATCTATGCGCGGCCGGACGGGACGGTATATGCGTGTGGGCCGGGCGACGACAGCGCTGTCCCGGACAGCGTGGACGATGTCGGCGTGGACTCGCGTGCGTGCGATGCGCTGCTCGAGGATGTGTGCACCATATCCGAGGAGCTTGCGGCTGGGGACGTCGAGGTGCGGCAAGCGTGTTTCCTGCCCGCCTGCAGTGCTGGCGGCGGCCCGATCGTTGGTCAGGCGTCTCCCGGTTTGTTCATCGCGACGGGACACACTTGTTGGGTGCGTGATCTCTTGCATGAGCCTGGTAAATAGTATTGTGTGCGACTCTGACCGGCTTGCAGGGAATCAGCAACGCGCCCGGAACTGCCAAAGCAATGTCCGAGTTAATATTCGATGGGAAAGCTCATTGCACTGATCTGAAGAACCTCCATCCGTCCAATTTTCTGTAGCCCGGCATGTATTCATATGCAAGAGTGTCACAGCGAAGAGAGTACATGATGGTGGAGAATGGAATCTAAGCAGCGCCACTCAACCTCCCGGCCTCCCGATCTCTGTCAATCAGCGAGACAATACCTCGATAGCGCACATTGCGCCGTGGTTCCATTCCTCCGCAGTCAACGAAAACGAGGGGACGGTTAAGATCCGGGGTGCACGAGCCTTGAGGAGATAGGCAATGAATGCGGTGCAAATGAGCTTCGCAGGATCAGGACCCTGGAGAGTCAGACGATTGAGGCCGGATAATAGACCTTGGGCGTGCGAGTAGTGGATTCTAGTCAGATTCTCCGTGAATCTATGGAAGAAGTATACTTTGAGGAAGCTGGATATGGACCGTCTCACAGGCGCAGACACGCGGGGCGTTTCTTCGGCATCGATCGCCAACGTAAATCGATGTGCCACTGCATGGACAAACTCGAAAGTAGGGCGGCAGGGAGCACACGAGTGCGTGCACCGTGGTGAGCGCAGGTGAGCTAGCGTATCAAGCCTTTGAGACGCCGTCCTTCCAGGAAAGGCAATTCAGATTGATGCCGCGGAGCGGAATGGGGCACGTGGGAACGGACGCCCCACAAACAAACTGCGTGAGGCGATCAAAAGTGGTGTATCCCTCTTTCTTGGGCCACAGCATCGCATTTAAGACCCTCCACATCATCCCATCCCTTCTCTCCTTCTCGCCCCTGCAAAATGACTGAATACGACTACAGCGAGGAGGGCTACAATCGATTCATGGAGACCCAGGCGCGCATCTCCCGCTGGGCAGAAAAGACGAATCGCACACCCCAATCCGATCCGTTCACGCCGCAGACTCCTGCGCTAGCCTCCGCAGTGGCACCGCTACCCATGCCGGGGATCGTACCCGGTCCCAAGAGGCGGGACAGCAGGAGAGACCGCGACCGGAGTGCATTGAAAGAAGACGTCACGCGACGCGATCGACGACGGCGGACGCCGCCACCTCCCCTCCTCATCCCCCAGGATCCATACATTGGCGGTGGCCCCATCTCTACGCCTATGCCAGGCCACCCCCACCAATACTACCCTTCATCCGTCCAGCCTTACTACGCGCAAAACCAATACTACAGTGCTCCACCCGAGCCGAGACGAACGCGCTCTTCGTCACGAAGCCTGCCCCCTCCTTCGCACACCCTAGCACGACCGCCGCCTCCGCCTCACTCGCGTCCGAGTCCGGTGCGATCACACTCCGTCGGGCAACCCCCGATGGCCGCAACACACGGACACCCCGTCCGCTCGAATTCGCTGCCCTACGCTGGCCCCCCACCCGCATCGGCACCGGTGGCGCCCTCGGGCGCGCCATTATATGCAGCACCGCCCCCTCGCCATGGCGCAGCTTACGGATACTCGCCGCACGCGCTACCGATGTACGGCTACGGCCACGGGCCGGGGTATCCAGGACCGTCCCCACTGAATGCGGCGCGGGGGCCGATGCGACCGCAGCCATCGCGGCAGGGCTCCATGCTGAAGCGCGTGTTTGGGTGGACTCATCGGACGAGCCCTGGGCCGATGAGGTCGGATTCATACTGATCGTGCTATGTATGTAGATGATGTAGGATAGGTCGTTGTATTTTAGTCATCGGTATCGTACATTACATCTCTAGTTGGAGTCATGGAGTGATTTGTCCGGGAGCACCAGTGTACTTGACTAATGGTAACTTTCGTCAGCTGCGAACAACACGTGCGCGGCTAGGTCGATTCCATGGTCCCCCGTCCACAGATATCCGAGACTGTGCTGGTCGAATCTGCGGCTATCCAATCGGGGTCAACGAAGAGGGTTCTTCTTCGATATATACCCTGTAGTTTCAAATGAAAGTGATATGCAACTCGAAACATTGCTCGGCCATGGCCCGAGGTCTCCCACGAATCCGCGGTATGGGACACAAGATCGTTGTGGCCACCGCATTGCGTGGCGGAAAGAACTTGGTACCGTTGTGAAAGAGAAGCGCTTCACGAAGATATAGTTTCGGGGGACCGAACGGTTGGTGTCACAACTGGCAGGAAGAAAGCAATGCCAGTGCATCGCCACTTGATCAGCTCTCTCCCTACCCACGCGCGCAATGGTCAAAGCAAAGAAAACGCGTCCGCGAAAGTCGGGCGTAGATCCTTCTCCCGGAGATTCTAAGCTGGGAAACGACTGCGACGCGCCTACGCTGAACGAATGGGAGAGCATGAAGACCTACGACGCGTTCAACAGTCTGTGTCACTGTGGACCATCCCCCTCTTCAGATCTCGCATTGACAACTCGGAAGCAGTTATTCCCGAGGACTCGCAGGAAATGTATACATTCCAAGCCGGCAGCAAGTTTGTCCCTTCCGTCCCATCCGTATTTCTGTTGCGCGCTGATGGTTGTGTCTTTGACAGAGTGCTTGTGCAACCATTCGGACACGAGGTCGGGATGCTGGACATCCACCAATACTGGATAGCGAGGGTCGTTGAGATTCGTGGGCGCTTACCTGCTCAAGGAGAGAGCAAGGCAGTAAGGCCTGAGTCTGATGTCTGAGTCATGGTCGAGTGGTTTTACTCTGCGGACGACCTACGAAAAGAAAACCCTCGCCTTCGTGGGTCGGTCCTATCCCCCTCTGTTCTGCGTTTTCTGCTGTCCCTGATCCCTGGACAGGAGATTAAAGGGTTGCGGCAAGTTTGAGCGCTTTCAGTCAGGCCATCGGGACTGTATATCCGTCTCTGTCTTTCAAGGCGCGTCATCTGACATCCTGATTCTCACGTCTCTCAATCTATAGAACAGAAATCGTCACTATGAAATCTTTCGACGAGAACATCCCAGAACAAGAGCTGATTCACGCCGAGGAGCTCTATTACCGCTCGACATACCATCACACTAGCGGTGCAATATCGGTGCGTGCGAGAATACGGTATGATCCTGGTCTAACTCACCTCTGCAGCCAGCTCGACCAACGCTATGCTGCTGTGGCGAAGCGTACGATCCAGACGAAACATCCGCGGAACACATCATGCACTTTTGCTCCCGCTGTCGACGCTGGCTGCACCGAAAATGTCTCTCCTCCCCGCTTCCCTCACGGAGAGTCACTCCAGCTGAGTTCCTGCAGTTCGACCCCGACACAAACAGCCGGCCACTATACCCCTTCTGGAGCGCCGTTGCAGACGACTCGCCGTCGTCCGTGTCCTCCACGTCGGAGCGACCGTCGAAGCGACCGCGGCTGAGCACATCGACGCCAGACTCGCTAGTCGCGCCAGATCTGCAGGTTCTGGACGACCACATCTCGGGCCTCCCCGCGGATCTCGTGAAGCTCGCAACACGCTCTGTCATACGCGGGGGCCCCGCTGGGGTCGTGGGCAACGGACCCGCTGTGATCGAGGCCCGGCGGAAAGTGTGCCAGTTTCTATGCCAAGGGGACAGCACCAAGGCTGCGTGGCTGCAGGACTGGCGCGCTCAGATGCCAGCAGGCTGGGATACCACGCTTCCCGAGGGATGGGACACCGTGGTTAAGCAGGAGCCTGATGTGGTGCTCAAGAAGAGGACCAGAGGACGGCCGCGGAAAACTGTCCCTGTTGTGGTTCCGGATCCACTCAATCCCCCGACCCTGGAATGCCCCGACTGCCACAATCTCGTCTGACTTGCCTTGTTACATTTTCACACATCTGTATTTGTTTGTCAAAACTTCAAGTGTAATTCGTACCATTCTTGCCGCACGTTTTCATTTTCCTGTCTAATATAGCTTCACGTGGTGTGACGGCACGCGTTTGTCACTCTCTCGCTCGAAGGCCGACTCTCATCTTGGTGCACATTGGATAGAATCTTACTGCGGGACAGGAAGCGGCACATCGCCCTCCGAGTCCAGATCCAGCCCGACCGTCAACCGCGACACCAGCGAGTACGCGCCCGCCGTGAGCGTGATCTCCATGATCTGCGACGTGTTGAAGTGCGTCTTGACGGCGTTGTACACCGAATCGGGGATGTGCACGGTGTCGGCCATCCAGTCGGCGAACGCCATGCTCGCGAGCTGCGCGTCAGACAGCCCGGTGAGCCGCCCGTCGGCCCAGGAGAACGTCTTCTGCGGGGCAAACCGGAGGAAGAGCAGCTGGGCGGTCGTCATGTTGCCTGAGCTGCGCGCGACGGGCTCGTGCTGAAGCCACTGGTACGTGGCGGTATTCGCGACGGCGGTGCGGAGAATCTGGATTCGAGGAGGGATGTGTGAAGCTGTGACATCGTGCGCACCGACACACATACCAGAAGCTCGCGGACGTTTCCGGGGATGGTCAGGTTGCGGCGCACGGTCTCGATGAAGTCCGTCCAGGCGTTGGCGACGATCGCGTTGTTGAGGCTGTGAGATGAACGATGAGAATTCGGGAGCTGAGCAGGGAAAGTGCAGAGCTTACAGAGCACCATCGAGATCGAGGAGAATTCCTCCGGGACGAACACTTCGGATCTTGTCGGCGACCTGATGCAAAGGTCAGCTTGAGCATACATCCGAAGGAATGCACGCACCGCGTTGGTACCGGGCGCAGGGAAGATGTACGGGACCCGAGCAGGCAATTGGTTGTCTCGTTTCTCGACGGCCTCCGAACTGGCGAAAGCGGACAAGGCGCAGAACGCCAAGGTAAAGAACGCGAACTTCATGCTTTCGAGGGGAAAGAACACTTTTTAAGCCTCGAGATCCTCGCAGGGGCTTAAATATCATCCTCAGACGCCCGCGACATCCTACTTCCCAGCTCTCCATGGCTGCTGCGTGTGTAAGAGAGGACATTCCCTTCTATGATTCTGCTTCGCTGATGGCCTTGTCGGTCGAGGTAGGAGCAGGAGCTCCCACGGAACTTCCAAGCCATTCGGGACGAAGGGTGCTTGCGAGCAACCGGTTTCGGGCCGATGAGAGCCGCATATTCCTGAGAATTGGTGCGCTCCGCTCTCCATGGTGAAGCATGACGTCCATGTGATATCGCTGCGGAGTGTGCGAGCGCGGTGCACCCACGGGTAAAGCCATCACGGCCGGGGCAGAAAAGGAGAGCCGCGGACTACATAACAAGGCACCGGATTGGCCATGGCAGTGCGACTTCGAGAAGAGCCGTGAGACCACAGACGATCGCATCACATCGCTTGAGACCAAGACATGTCCCAGTCCTCTCTCTCCCTGTCCAAATTATACGTACGGTTGGATTTTCGCAAGCTGCCGTCTGCCAGGGGATATCGTGCAACCAGCAATGAGCGCATTTGCGCCCCTTATAAGCGACACATACTCAGCCAGTCGATGCAATGCGCAATCTCCGGGGCCTGCCCATTGGCATTCGCAGGAATCCAGCGGTGAGGGCTTTGTGGCTGTGAACCGTGGCATTATGCCAGTCAAGTAGACGCGTGCCGAGAAAAGCTTCCCGAAAGCGAGACTAGTGACGGAAGCCAGTCTGTCCGCCACTGTTGACTGGCATGCCACAGACCGACGAAGCACGTCTCGAGCGCGAGAGGGCCAGCGGGAACAAGCTCTGGGGTGTCTACATCTCCGAGGCGCAGAGTTACGATCAAGGTCTGGTCGATGGCTGGCGCAGTGAGATGGACGGCCTGCTGATTTTCGTGCGTCCCTGTGCGTTATCTACGCCAGTCCGACTCTGAATCTATCAGGCCGGTCTCTTCTCTGGCGTCGTCACGTCATTCATCATCGAAAGCTATAAAACGCTGAACCCCGACTCGGGCAGCCAGACCCTCGCGCTGCTCGCCCAAATCTCGCACCAGCTCGCGAGCCTGAATAACGGCACGGCAATGACAGACGCACTCCCTCCCGCCGCTGCCTTCTCGCCCCCGATCTCGTCCCTGGTGTGCAACGCACTCTGGTTCACCAGCCTGGCGCTCAGCTTGTCGTGCGCACTCGTCGCGACACTGGTCGATCAGTGGGCGCGGGAGTACCAGCACCGGACGTCCATGTTCTCCTCCCCCTCCATCCGGTCGCGCGTGTACATGTATCTGTACTATGGTTTGCGACGCTTCAATATGCATGCCGTTGTCGGCGTTCCCCCGCTTCTCCTGCACGGGGCACTAGTTCTGTTCTTCGCGGGTTTGGTGGCATTTCTCGTCCCTGTCAACATCATCATCATGGGAATCTCTTCCGCTCTCCTGCTCCTCTTCGTCTCCGTCTATGGAACGTTCACCGCGCTCCCCCTGTTTTTCTTTGACAGTCCGTACCAGACGCCACTGTCGCGAATCCTTTGGTCGCTAAATCAAAGCTTGGGAAACGGACTGCGGGCTTATGTTCGAAAGACAATGGCTAGGGACCCCGAGTCCCTCACCAATCCTTCTGTCTCTGTAGACAGTCGTATACAGGCCCAGAGCATGGTGGAGGCCATGACTTCAATGGCACTGAAGTCCAGTATGGAGGTAGAGACTAGGGCTTTGGGCTGGGCTATACGATCTCTCTCCGACGATGACGAATTCCAGCCATTCGTGGAGGGGCTCACTCAAACGCTATGGGATTTCGAGAAAAACGAGCCTCGTGGCGCGTATCGGGCGCATTTCGAAAGGTTGCTGCGGGATCCGCAAGTCCGTCTCTGTCAGCGTCTTGGGGACTTGATGGTGGGCTCCAACAGCGATCTGCTCGAGCACACAGTCCGCCTCCGTCGACAGCTCTCCGTGCTCCGGGCCATCTGGGCTGTCTGTGCTTTCTCCATAGTCTTTGGGTCACCGCTGGAGTGTCCTATCGGAGAAACCGTCGTGAACAGCGCACTGCTCGGCTCGAAATTTCTCGGTTCTGCCGAGGTGCAGATGCTGGTCCCCGTCGTGTCAGCTCTAATTCGTCTCAATACCATCGAGTTCTGGGCCGCGCAACCCAACGGAGAAGCGAGGCAACAGGCCCTCACGCGCCTCGCCATCAAGACGATCCGCTCGGGGGACGGTCGAAGCGTCACAACCGCCCTGTTTTTGACAAGTGGCCGCAGCACATTTGAAGAGGAGAAGCGATGGGCGTATGCGCAGTATCTGGTCAATCTCTCCGAGAGTCCTGCCAGCTTCCAGCGGGAAGTGACCAATTCGCTCTTTCATCGATCACCGGTCCCCTTCCTGGCCGGAAACTACGACCCCGTCATGGTAGAGGCTCTCGAACTGATGATTGGATCAGAGTCGGGAGAGACGGCGGACAATCATGTCTTCGCTGCTCGTCAGGTGATCTGCGCGATCGCCCGGACATTGATAGATCCACCTCCAACGGCAGATGGGACCGTGCATATGCTGCCGTCCGGTCTTGCGCCGTTCCTCGTCCGACATCCTTCCCTCGCCATGTATACACCGGGCTCTGTCTGGGAGTCCGGTCTGGGGGAAAAGTACACTCGATACCTGTGCAACTGCATGCTTTTCAACTTGGCGCACCGACTCGATCTCAAGGCGTCTCTCGACTCCCTCCATCTGATTTATTATCATCTAGACGACATCACCGTTCGATCGAAATACTTGCAAGACCTCGATGCTCATTTGTTGACGATCAGCACCCTGCGGAGCTCCGGTGCTGAAGCAGCAGGCATCGACACGCATCATGTAGTTGCCCTGGTCCAGAGCATTGCAGTTCGCTGCGTCTCGTGGGATTCATCGGAATCGACCAGAGGGCTGAGTATCTTCGAAGACGAGGATTGGTTTCGCGCGGCGATCCGCATCGACGATGAGAAGTGGATTGAGCGGGGATCGACGCCAGGAGATGACGATGCGGTCCCTGTCTTCGTTCGCAGCTGTGCGCTTTTCGGTGTTGTGACGACCTTTCTAGAACAGTGTGCTCAGAATCGAGAACAGAGGGAGCTCGAGCTTGACTTCAAGACACTCACGTTGATCATAGAACGCGCCATGTTTTCAGGACTGGGGTGGAGTCTGGTACTCCCGAGCGAAATCCAACGTCGATTCGCCGCCGCTGTCTCTACATTCCTCCAAAAATATCCACAGGAGGGTCTCGCGGAGGGCAGGAAGCTCGGCTGGCTGCTGTGCAGTGCCATCACTCCTCCATCTTTCCGGGATCATTGGGGCGTTGAGGTGCCGGGGTGGATCAACGATTTGGTTGCATTGCAGGTCCTGGACAGGGCTGTGTTTGACACGCAGAAGGACTACGAACAGCAAACGCAGCGATACAATGCTCGAGAGATCCGGGAACGGATTCAGATGCGGCTCCATCTTCCCGAGAGCATTTTCGCCGGCTTTGTCTCGCTTGTCACTGACGGCGCTGAGGGACGGTGAGGTGACTATTATGGAGGGTGTTGTTTTCCATGTATTTGGCCAGAGGACATCCGTTTATCTTGTATGTGAAACTAACAACGTGAGCATGATACAGTTTAGTGGGATCTGAACCCAGTTGAGCAGTTTCCCTTTGCCGGAGATCTTCGACCAGGTCCTCTTGGGCAGCGAGACATGTCTGGTCAACATTCTACCGCGTCCATGAACGTTTGTGATCGCAGAGATCTGATGGTTCTCAGTACTCATCCATAAGGCCCGTCGCGGAAGTTGCCCGGAAAGCTTAGACACGCGAGGCTTGTCATGTCTGGACTCCGTTTATGGGAAACTGGAAGTTGACGAGTGGGATCCGGCCGCCTTGAGTAGCGGGTACCTGGCCGGTACATCTCCATGCAAGAAAGGTCGGCAATGGTGATGATGAGCAGTTGATTAGACAATGAGTTTCAGCCTTGTCCCCGACTGTCAACAACATGTCCATCACGGCCCCTTGCCCAGCCAGGCGAGGACTTTCTCTCTCCGCAAGGGGACCAGTAAAAATGTATCACACTTTATCCTCTCCGCGAAGCCTGTCTAGCTTGCATCATGTCCAGCATAATAGATCAACGATATGTCAAATTTCTCGCCGAGTTCAGCTCATTCTTGGTCTACCAAAAGCAACTTATGAGCTGCGGGGAACAGGAAAAACACACAAATGGGCTTTAGTCAAAGCTTCACTCTCGGCTTCTAGCAACGTATGTAGCCAGAGCATGCATCGATCGTAAAGTTTGGAGGCGAGAATTGAGCGGACCTGATGTTCTCACTGTCACTGCCTTGTCTGTTTTCTCAACGCCGGCTCGGTCCCGAGGGCTGTATTTACGCTACTCAGGCTTCTCGACCTCGTGCCTCATGTCGAAAGTGGGTAGCTCGTCCAAAGCTACGGATTCTCGATTGACGCGAATGCCGCAATCGATGATCTCAGGCGCCATACATCATGTCCAGCTAGCCATCTGAGGTCGCCGCGCTTTTCCTTTGGGGAATGGGCGGCCGTATTAAAGCTTTGGATCGCAGAGTCTACGGCCGCCAGTCCACCCTCGACAATGCTCGTTTTCCAGAGTAAGTCCCAGGTCGATTCCACTCGATGCATACGGTTTCTGACTCCAACCCAGCTATTCTCTTCGCACTCACCACCTTGATCGGGGTCCAAGCTCTTGACCTCTCCGCCTCTCAGTGGATCTGGACGACCGATGTATCAGGTGGCCTGGCTCCCGTTGGCTCCCGCGCGTTCCGCAAAGACTTTGTCGCGCCAGCTGGCAAGACGCCGCTGGAGGCAGACATTATCATCACAGCCGACGCCTCCTTCAGCCTGTATGTGAACAATAACCTCGTTGGATCGGGCGGGAACTACCGCTATGCCACGCGGTTCTGCGTCCCCCTCAAAGATTGCTTGAACGTGTTTGCCGTGAACGCTACGAACGGTGGGACCGCACCCAATCCGGCTGGGCTGATCGCCGCCATCCAGATCACCTACTCCGATGGAACGACTTCGCAGCTGGTGTCAGATGCGACCTGGCGCGGCGCTATCACATTCCCGAGCAACTACCAGTCCCTCTCGTTCGACGACAACTCGTGGCGCCCCGTGTTCGTCGAGGCTGACTTCGGCGCCTCGCCCTGGGGCACGATCCCGGTTCCTCCCGCGCCCCCCGTGCTCACGCTGGCCGCCGCGTCTTGGATCTGGACGACGGAGGTGTCGGGAGGGAATGCCCCAGCGGGGACCCGCGCGTTCCTCCGCACCTACACGCCGCCACCCGGCCAGCGGGTCGCGTCTGCGACGGTGATCATCGCCGCGGACAACGAATACACGCTCTACGCGAACGGTTTCCAGATCGGCTCCGGGACGAGCTTCACTACGGCGCAGACCTGGAGCATCAACCTTGGTGCCGCATCGCAGGTCGTCTTCGCCGTGGTGGCGACGAACATCCTCACCGTCCCGAACCCCGCGGGCGTCATCTTTGTGGCGGAGATCGACCTCGTCCAGACGGCGTGCAACTGCACCGGCGGAGCCTACCTGATCAGCGATGGATCCTGGCTGTGGCCTGGGAACGCGTCGGTTCCGTCGGGCTTCCAGAATCCCGGGTACGACAGCTCGTCCTGGACGGCTGTCACCACGGAAGGTATGGACGGCGTTGCTCCATGGGGCACAGTCGCTGTTTCTCCGTCGACGGGCACAATAAATGCTTTTTAGAGTCGCGATCCTTCAATGAATGTTGGTAAAATTTTGTAAATGGGGCTGTCGCAGGATTTGTAAAAAAACTTATAGCAATTTGCGAATATAATGGCTTTTCCGAAAAAGAAAAAACTTTGTGAGCACAAGTGCATGTAAGGTTAGGGCTTGTACACAGCCACTCCACACTTACGCTCTTGCCTCTCACAGGGCCGCGGACACTCCGTATCGGGTCGGTCCGCCAGCTTCAGGACTTTTACTCTAAAAAATTAGCGGTTTGGGGTCACTTTTACTCTATTTCCGGACCGGATAATCAAAAAATTTCTCCCACGCTATGAAAATTTCCAATATTTGATTTCTCATTACCCGATTTGTTGAGGCCATCAGTCCCGGTTGTGATCGAGCACCCATGCCGGTCGCTGTGGCTCACGGGAGAGCTTACTGTGCTCCAAAATTGCGTGATTTGGCCATATTAGAGTCATATTTTTGCCAAAATCGGTCGGGCTTCGCCCGACTTTTACTCTATGCCGGACCGCTTCCGCGCTCTGGAGCTCGATTTTACTCTATTTTCGGACCGGAAATCCAAAAATTTCCGGCCCACTTTTACTCTATTCCGGACAGACATAATACGGAGTGTCCGCGGGCCTCCTCTTACACAGCAACCGTTGCTCAACCCCTCCCTGACACGTCACGTGACATATCAAATTGACACAAGTTTGAATCCCAGTCATACTGTCAGCAAATGTTTTCTGCTCTCCCAATTTCAGCATTTACTGAGACATCTGAGTGAAGGTGAGAAAACTAAGTGTTTTCTCTATCTCACAAGGTAATTAGCTTCTGTGCTAGATCACAAGTTGAGGGCAGTCATGAGGTGGTAGGTTTGGAGGCAAAATGTGATTTTGGGTCCCAAAGCACTTGGCCCAGACCAGGGTCCAGACACAAGTAGACACAAGTCTAACTATGGAGGACAAGTATTTACAGAGTAGGTGAATATATTTAGAATGAAATGTGGTGTAACAGGGATGGTGGGCAGGAGAATCTGACAACAAATAGGGAACTGCAAGTACAAAATGAAACAACAACAAGGTGGCTCAGTGTTCTCATGAGTCACAGGCTGACATATATGAGACAGGACAATGTGACAATGAGATAACAAGGAGAAAGGGAATAAAGAGACAAAGGGTGCAACACAAGAACTTGTGTTGCAAGCACTGATCCATCAGGCTGGCTAACCCTGGATAATTCACTCCTCTCCTCAAATTCTCTATGTATGTGCTGTCAGTTCTGACTTTGTGTAAGAACAGGTAAAATCTTTCAGAAGAGGGTAGTCTTGGAATACATTTCGACCTGAACTCTTTCTAACAGTACTTATTGTAAAGAGTAATAAAAATGTGCAAGAGGTCGAACTGAAAACCTTCAGACATCAGCATGTGTGCATTACCAATCCACCATACAATCAATGTAACAGGTGGGTAAAGTAAAAACATGATCACCATGTATACACAAAAGTGCCCACATTGTCATAATTCGACCCTTTTTCATCTTATCATCAATGATCTTATCTTATCTTGGCACAGATTATCTTATCATGGATCACGGCACCTGACGGTCTGGGCTAGGGGTCTGAGGGGTCATCCTTATTGATTCAAGGCTGCGCGACATATGCTCCAGAAGGTTCTACTACAACCCATGACCAGTGCTCCATGCGGTACATAGCCTTATGACTCATTAGTTGTAGATATGACTCAGACTGGTCCATACCTCGCCCTCCTGCCGCCTGAAGACAAGATCCCTGACCTCGACAAACTGCCCTCCAAACAACCACCCTCACCCCCACCTACCACACCGGCTCCTACCATGTCAGGACATCACCGCATCACCCTCGCCGCCAACCCCCCTATTTCGATGGGGACAAGACAAAATATATGGGCTTCGTGGACTCGTGCACCACCTACATTGGTGCCTATTGGTCGGAATTCTCGCAGGATGAGACAAAAATCCTCGTCATCCTCTCATACCTCCGCAACAAGGCTGGCACAAGCTGCGCTGCCTCAAGATGGGCAATGAACTGGAAACAGCGCAACTTCGAAAGCCTTAATGGAATAAAGGCTGGGGTCACCTTGGCGACCTTCTTAGAGGAACTGCGGAGGGCCTTTGGGGACTCCAACATGGAGCAAGTCACCGCCGCTTGACTCATGGCTCTACGCCAGAATAGACAATCCTTTGCGGATTATATCTCCGACTTCAAGATGCTGGCTGCGGATGCGGGGTAAAACATGGTCACCTCCACCGACAGCAAGGGCGAGTACAAGAAGGGGGATCAGGACAACATCCTCATCGAATTCCTCGAGCGTGGACTGAGCAGCAAGATCGCAAGTTGCCTCTACAACACGGGTGTCCCCTTGCCCAAGGCGTATGGCGCCTTCAAGGACTGGTGTGTCAACATCGAGGCAAACGCTCTGCGCGATCAGCTGCGCAAAGCATCATATGGGCACCCCACGCCACGACCACCTCCCCAGTTCCGTCCCCAGGCGGCACCAGTGGCGCCCACACCCGCTCCGACCCGGCCGGTTGCCAATGAACCGGTTCCAATGGAAATCGATCGCACCCATGCCTGCGGCTGCAATATTATCTGCTACAACTGTCAGCAGCCTGGGCACATTGCGCGGAACTGCCCGGAACCAAGGAAGAAGCACACATTCTTCAATCGGGCCACGATGCTGGAAGAGATCAAGAACGGGGACAAGGACAACAAGTTCCTCAAGGAGATTGCCGAGAAGCTGCGCGAGGAGGGTTTTTGAAGCGCTCCATGCCTCTAGCCAAGAAGGTGGAGCGTCTGGACTATGGACAATTTTCCGTACTTGTTTCAATTAAAGATATGAACAATATTCTGCACCATACATACACGCTCTCCGACTCACTACGTACAAATATTCACAATTTTCTTGTTGCCAAGATGGAAAAAGAACGTAAAGAAAAAATAGCTTTAAATAGAAAATATTTACAAGATAAAAAGGATCAGAAGATAGCGGCTGCAGATAAATTATTTTTGGACTCCTACGTATTTATGGCTCGTGGAGAAGAAACCACGTCAACAAAGACCGAAAAGGGGAGCATCGCTCCGGAGGCTCGATCCTTGGAAAAGGAGGAAGCACCTAAGGAATCTGCCAAAATCAAGGTTCCAGAAACACCCAAACGCACCAGGGTGCCAGATGCTGTCCAGAGAAAGTTGGCGGCCGAGAAACAGAAGGGCCCCCAGCCCAGCAGACTGGCGCAGGAATTGCACAACTACCAGGCTGAAAGGAAGAGGCATTCAATGGACGTATATGTCCAGATCATGGGCCTGGACTCAGGGAAAACGCACAGAGTCAAAGCGCTGCTGGATAGTGGCTGCAGTACCTGCTGCATCGATACTGACTAGGCACGGGCAGAAAAACTGGATATTCAAGAACTTCCCCAACCCATAGTGGCTTGTAACGCCGACAACACCGAGAACATCAGTGGCCAGATCACGCATTACGTCGACCTAAGAATGAGAATCGGTCCTCATGTGGAAACACGCACGTTCCTTCTGACGTGCCTGGGAAAAGCCCAGATCTTCATTGGTCTTGATTGGCTGACGGAACACAACCCCGAGGTGGATTGGCAGGAGCAGACAATGAGATTCAGCCGATGTCCAGAGTGGTGTCACATGAAGGGTCACGAGGAGCACCAAGCAATGATCGACATGGATGCAATCAACTTGGACACGGGGACGTCGGATCTGGAAGAGGGAGAATCGATCCTGTTGGTTGAATTTGGGAAGGAGGTGGATCTACAGCTGAAGGAAACGCCGGCACAGAAATTTGCAGAAGAAGCAGAAAAAGAGAAGGAGAGGATGACCGAGGGAAAGATTCCGGATCAATATTGGGAATTTGTCAAGGTATTCGCCAAGGAATCGTTCGACTTGCTACTGGACCGATGGGCATGGGATCATGCAATTGAGCTCAAACCTGGCTCCAAAGCAGTGGACTGCAAGGTGTACCAATTATCACGAAACAAACAGGTCAAACTCAATGAGTTCTTACAAGAGAACCTGGCCAGTGGACGGATCAGGCCATCAAAATCACCCATGGCATTGGCATTCTTCTTTGTCAAAAAGAAGGATGGTTCACTACGTCCTGTCCAAGATTATCAGAAGCTGAATGAGATGACAATCCGAAATTGATACCCGCTGCTGTTGATCTCCGAACTGGTCCATAATCTATGCGGTGCAAAGTTCTTCACCAAGCTTGACATCTGGTGGGGATACAATAACGTACGGATCAAAGAGGGCAACGAGTGGAAGGCTGCATTCCGTACAAACCGCGGACTGTACAAGCCCTTGGTCATGTTCTTTGGTCTCATGAACTCCCCGGCAACCTTCCAAAACATGATGAATGACATACTCGAGAACTGATCAACGAGGGCCATGTGGTAGTCTATCTTGATAATATACTGATCTTCACAGAGAACTTGGACGAACATCGGCGGATCACGAAACGAGTACTCGAACTGCTCCAAAAACACAAGCTGTACCTGAAACCCGAAAAGTGCGAGTTCGAACGCATGGAAATCGAATATTTGGGTGTGATTATTGGACACAATTCGATGCGGATGGACCCAGTCAAGATCAAGGGCGTGATGGAATGGCCAGAACCAAAGAGCGTCAAACAGGTCCAAGCATTCCTGGGGTTCACCAACTTCTATTGGGGCTTTGTTCGGGGATATGCGGAGATTGCCACGCCATTGACGCGGCTGACAGGGAAGGCAGGATGGTCATGGGGTACGGATGAGCATGTGGCGTTCGATGGATTGAAGAAGAGAATTGCAGAGGATGTGGTCCTAGCACTGCCGAATGACACCAGCCAATATTGTCTGGAAGCCGATGCTTCGGAAGGGGCAACAGGGTCCGTTTTGAGCCAAAACCAAGATGGCATTTGGCGCCCAATCGCATTTATTTCGCATGCATTGACCGAAACTGAGCGAAATTACGAGATCTATGACAAGGAAATGATTGCAATCATGTTATTGCTCGACGAATGGAGGCAGTTACTACTGGGAGCCATGGAAACGTTCAAGATCTTCACCGATCATCAGAATCTTGAGTATTTCTGGAAGCCACAAAAGCTCAACCGACAACAAGCACGATGGATCACGGAACTGGCAGAGGTTGATTTCACCTTATGACACTGGCCCGGTGCACTCAACCGCAAGGCAGATCTCTTATATCGACAAGCGGATCACGATCAGGGCAAGAACAACAACAAGGATGTTATGTTGCTGAAACCCGAGTTCTTCCGATCACAAGAAGTCACATTCGAA